TCAAACAGCGTCGGAGCGAGTGCAAATTCAAATAAGACTCAAGTGTCAAGTGGCCAGGAAGCCAAGGTTCTATTACCTAAGGGGGCTTCCGAACTGCCCATTGCAACCTCTTTGTGTGCCACGCTTTGGGTAGATGAACTTTGTTTTCGCCAAGCTCTGCCAAGTTTGGGAGCAGCCTCGAGCTGTTGCATTCTGGTTCCAGATTTAGTTTGCCCGCAACGTTTTCCTTGACAGTCGTAGGCCCCCGGTGCGGCAGGATTCGCCGGATGGCCAGTCAGGACAGGGTGAGTACTGGGCTAACTTGCAAGTTGTAATCCGGGAAGCCTCCTCTCCTCGCTCCCTTAGCGCTGTCAGATGCACGCATCTTCCGATCATTCAATTCTGGAGACGAGCCCGTTCATGCCAACCAGCTCGCAGCGCCTGTTTGATTCTTCCCAGGGGCCCTGGTGTTGGTCAGATGTCTCAGGGAGCAGTGCTCGCATCCTGCCCTGTGCGATACCCATGAAGGGGCAAGGCTGTTTTGCCCAAGGAAAGCCAACTTAAGGCGCTCTGACCTAAGATTCTTCCAAAAGGTAGTTGCCACCTTGCCGTTGACAGTGCTCTTGGAGCTCTCGCCCGTGCCACCAGGCGGCGTAAAAGGAGGCGCGGGAGAAAGAGGGAGAAGGGAGTGGGTACTTAAAGCGGCGATCGGGTACTTAGTAGGTGGTTTATAAGCTTGGTTATAACCCGCTTACCATGGTTATAAGTCTCCGAAGTGAGTTATAACCAGGCTTACTAACCACTTACTAAGTACCCTGCCCCTTTAAGTAGGGTGGTGGTTTCCTTGTGGTTCCCCCACCAAAAACGGGGCCCTCACCTCGTAATAAACACTGAGAGATGTCCCAAGGCCCAGCAAAGCAGGTCCATGGCTTCCATTTTGGTTTACAACTTTGCAGACGGAATCTTTGCTTTGAACCCACGAACACTGAACCTCTTGTAGTTTCACCCTAACAAGGATTCTTAGACCTTTTTCAGACTTTCCAGGGGCTGGGCAGAAGCACGGGCCGTGTTGGCGAGTTGATGCAGAAGGCGGCTAACTGGGTCCGCGGCAGATGTTGCTGTGCTGATCTACTTTGTCGTGTTGTGCTAATATGTTGTGCAAGTTTCGTTGACTCTGAACTTTGACTTCTCGGTTTGTTGAGCTCGGCCTTGGCTTCGTCGTCTTGGCTATCTAGCTTTTCGCTTCTCGGTTTTTGATGGACCTCGTAGCAGGGTCTAGCGGCTAGCGGCTGCCGTGGGATATGGCCTGCTCTTGCCTTTATGCACTTCGAACAAGCTGCAAAGATTTCAGCTGAATGACCCCGGATTAATAAACCCCTTTTTATTGATATGGGGGTGTTCCACTCCATCACTAAAACCAGGGACACCCTCATATTCATAAACAGGGGGCTTATGAATCTGGGGTCAACATTACCTTGATCTTCTGGTCAGTGGGCGACTCTTTGGCGCACCTTTAACGACAACGATCGCTGCCTATCGTTTTAAGATGGATTTTCTTGGTGGAAGCAATGGAGGGGTCCTTGCTTGGGAGGGGCTCGGCATCTCAGACTCTCAGGCGAGGCAATGGGCCAGCTCTTTGGGACATGCACTAACGCATGGGGTGTGTCTCGTTTTTCGGTGACCCCCTAAAACGGCTTCAGTTTGTCCTTTTGGTTTTCCTTGAACGCCCCCACCCCCCAAAAAAAACAAGGGAAGGGCCCACTTCTGCGAAGCTATGGATGGTTGTGCATTCCCTGACATTGGGCATCTATTTGAAGCGTTTTCCTTGTGAGCGCTTCGCGTGTCTGTGTTCTGCGCCCAACTATGCCTGTCTTGACTTTTAGATTATCGATGATAAACAGCGGTCCTTGTGTGAGCAGCAGGGCAGTTCCAGAGTGTTTTCTTTGCGTGGCAGTCTGCAGGTCAGTGCTCCGTGACAGTGACTGGAGGAAAATGGCCAGTGAGACTTCGCTGACCGCCTTTTTCGACGCTACTCTCCTGATTGAGGCGATGCCCCGTGATCACTCTACTGATGTCTTTTTTTTGGAGGTTTCCCCAAATGTAGAAGTCGTTTCAAAAAGGAGCTGCTAACCGATGGAGGGTCTTTCTCAGTCGTAGCGGCAATGCCGCTAAAGGAATCGTTCAGTATTTGTCTTGCTTATATTGTATTTCAGTATGTCAGTATTTCTGAAACCAGAGGGTATTAGGGGTTACCATGCGTTGCCCAGACCCACGGTCTTTTTTTTGGCTGGTTACAAGCTGAAGTCACCCGAAAGTGGGCGTCAAGCTGGTAGAAGGCTTGGTGAATATCAACAGTTGGCGAGTAGGACAAATGTGGTAAAGTATCCATCCAGCATTATTCTGAGACGTGGTTCCAACCCAGTGCAAAACTCAGTATCGATTGCCCCACGCCCTCCCATGGAAACAATCCTGGCTTTGTGGAACACTGTAGTTCCTGTGAGTGGTCGTTTAAGATTTTGCCTTGCTTCTGAACCCTCAATACTGCATTCTGCAAGTCAGGTGTAGGCCAGTCACCGGGCAACAGCCATGCAAATGCCGGCGCACGCACGGGAAGGCGACCTGGGCGTGGACCAGTTGCGTTGCTTGCCGCGCCTGGCTCTTTTCAGGCGAGGGCCATCGAATCCACGCGAGCAACCCGCAACCAGCAACCGGCAACCAGCCAGCTGAGCACCTAAGGGCCGATGGATTCAGAGCCCCGGCGTTCGCAGTCGGCCAAACTCGCCGGCCATGGCGCGCTGGTTGAGGCGCTCCGGAGTGCGGGAGCCCAGCGAATGGCCCGGAAAGATGGGAATGAACCGGTTTTGAGGAGTCCCTTAAAGGAAACCACGAGTTGGATGGTTCTTAGCAGGTTCTTCCAACTCATTCCCTGCTGATCGGCAAGTAAAGAAGCCACCTCCAGGCTTCCAGGACAAGAGCAATGGCTTTGCGGGGAATCTTTGGCAGCTTCAGGTTGTCTTTTTGGAGGAATGCTTTGGCGTTGCTCAAGCAATTGCAGCAGTTTGAGGTTCGAGCAAGCATTGCCTAAAAGGCAGCAGGATCCAGTGTGAGGATCATTCGGCTGCCAGTCAAGATATCAGGTAATTTCGGCCAGTGTGCCAGCTGTGAATAGAAGGTGAGTGCCCTTCTGCTACCTCCCAGCATACGACAATTGAAGCGCTTGAGCAGGGTCACACTGCGCTGGACCAAGTGTAGAGGCGCTCTCCAGAGGGTTTCTCTATGAGCTACGTGGCAAAGGTCGATAAATCCACCCTGATAGTTTGCGGTTGATTCGTGTCTCCTTTGATACTCTGCATTCAATCCAGGTCATGAATCCGAGGTTCCAATTCCAATGGTCCAAGAATTGGGTAGCCGGTTGGGGACAACTCCAATGCTATTGGAGCGGCAGGGTAGACATGTATCGAGGACTTCCGCAGAGGGCGTGAACGTATTTTGGCAAAGCTAGTATGCTACCTGGCGGTCACTTACACCCCGGGTGACCGGGGCCCTTTTTAACATTGATTTTGCCATCCGAAAGAGCTTGCTGGTTCGATGGGCAGGGAACGAGTTGCAATGATCCCTTTCAACCATCCCTTGTGGTTTCTCATTCATGGGAACCCTGGGTTCATTCCCAAACCCCTAGGTCCTTCCTGAGAACCAGGAGAAGTGGTTTGGCAGCCAAGCCCCTGTCATCCATTGTTTGTTTTGCTGGCAGCACCACCCGATGATTCTTTCTTGCCCAGGGCTTGGCCGTTTTGCTACTCGCTGCAGCAGAGGCCGAGGCCGGGGCGGTGTTTTGGTCCACGGGCTTTTTTCAGTCCAGATGAGCCATGAGTGATTCATGGGGGGGGCCCAAATTTCTATCACAAGAGCTTGCGGTAAGTTTCAGCGATCAGCTGCCAATCCCGCTAAAAACCTAATGCGATGGCACAGCTTTCTGATCGCATCTCACGGCCATTGCGCGCCGTTGCGCGATCCTTCTGAAGTCGGAGTGCTTGGAAGGGAGCCGGACTCGGAGCCGGACTCGGGTATCCAAGCGATCCTTGCGGAGCTACGGATCGGAGATCTGGTTAGGGACATGGTAGTGTTGCAAAGTGATTGGGGCCGGAGTTGGGCTTTCCATATGGGTATAGGTCAAAATTCAACCACTGGACCACCAGACTGTAGGTTTTAGTCCTTGTTTCCATTTGCCAGGGTTCTATTTTGGGTACCTGTTTTTGACCCACAACCACATGAGAGCGAGCCCTTGACGATTTGCAGTCGCCCTGGACGGTGCAATGCAACGCAGACTGCGGTGGCGTCGGGTACCCAGGAGAGTGGGGAGCGACCAGGAAGTAGAGGGCTCTTGAACCTGCCAATTAGAAGGTCCTCCTTTAAACATTTTGGGGTGATGGTACCCCATTTTGGTTGGTTCTGAGGGGAACCAAAAGGAAGGAAACCATTTTTTCGGGGGGTACCGCGGGGTACCTTAAAAAGACACACCCATTCCTCTATGCGATGAGCATCCCGGGAGCTTGCAGCGGGACCCCGCCAATGGCGTCGCATCAGTAGGCCTTGTTTTCCGTTGTATTACTTTGTATTTCTTTGTATTGCTTTGTGTTCCATTGTATTCCCCCCTGGCAATCCCTGGCAATCCCTCGCATGATTTAGCATTCCTTCACACCGCTGACCACAACTTGGAGCCTGCTGAGCTTGACACAGTTCCGTAGAGACTACCTCACGCCACTTCGGAAGGACCGGCTTGTACACCAAACTCATCCAAGAACAGCCCCAGCCATGGTTGTTGTTGCGACACATGTTACATTTTTGCTTAATTATTGTGGTTTAGTGGTTGAAATCCAACCACTGATCTGCTAGAATCCGACTTTTTTTTGCTCCCCGAACGTCAGCCAAGCAGCACCTCGCAGGGCCGTGCCGCATGCGCGCGCGCGCGCCTGATGTGTGAGGTGGACACATGCGCTGAGAAGCAGCTCTGTGATGGGTCCATGGCGGGGAGCCCCGAAAATCGCTCTTGAGCCCTGAGTGGAGCCCTTTTGGATCGGGTTGATCCATATTCCTTCCAACTGCCAACGCTCACTACAGCGACACAACTCAACGGAACAAAGGACACCTGTTTGCGGGTTGGGGGTTGGTCGATCTTCCATTTAGGGCGCCCGGGTTTTGACCATATTCTAGTTAGGGCCCGGGGATTGACCATAGCTTTTTCCATTTTCGCTTTTTTGACAGGTCATCATCTTTTTAGCGGGTTTCCAACCATGGGATGATCCCATGTAAAGGACCCTTTGATCAACGTTTTGCAACCAGTGGTCATCCCATGTAAAGGACCTTTTGATCAACCCCCCATTGCTCAAAGGAATAAGACGCTTTTGCGGCTTCGATTGCGGAGCGCAAAGGACAGGCTGGCCTTTGGGCGTTGCGGCCACAGCCGGCTGCTTGAATGGTCAGTTCTATTTCACAGCTTGAAGCCGCATCCGGAATTCGCGCGTGGACAAGTCCGTGCCACATGCGGCCTTTGCGATCCACCCCTTCCTTCCCCCTCCGCTCCCTCCTCCCCCCCCCCCCCTCCTTCCTTCCTTCCCCCCCCCCCCCCCTCCGTCCCTCCCGCCCATCCCGGCTCCGCCTGCCACTGCATTCAGGTGGAGTTCAGCATCTGCCCGGATGCGCAGCCTTGTGCTGCTCTCAGCCGACGTTTCACCGCTGGAAAGTGGGACTTTCCAAGATGCGGGTGCGTGTAGGGATCCTGAGTATGCAAGAGCAAGACAAGTAGGGATGTCATATGCTGTAATGAGTGACTCTGTGTCATGATCACTCGACATCCGATCATCCGATCTTTTTGGAGCTTGATCATCACATTTTTTAAGAATCTCTCGACAGGCGAGATGTATGTGCCCTTTTGCAGATATCATTCCATCACTCCCACATGAACAGTGAGGCCCTTGAAGCTTTCAACTTTCGGGAGAGCGCTGCACTGGTGGCGTGGGGTGAGGGCCGCAGGCTTGCAAACACGCACATCTGCATGTTCGAGTGGGCTGGAGACCACTCGATGTGTTGTCAAAGAAGCATGGCCCTCTTTTTGATAGTGTCTAAAATGCGGAACAAGGCAAGCCTGACTGGGGTTGATTGGAATGCAGTTGCAAAAGCTCTAAACGAAGCTGGGGACCAGACCCTAGCAGCCAACCAGGAGCGCCGCCAACCGAGAGCAGTGCCTCCATTGGGATGGAGATGGGAGCAACAGCACCGCCATCTCCAACGTTCAGTGCTTCAAATGTTCGTGTGTGCTTTGGTTTTGCTTGTGAGCGCAATTTTGTGCAGGTTTGATACTTCCGCCCTGGAGATAGCCGGCGGAAACCCCGGAAGCGGTTGCACAAGAAGGTCCCTGCCAGTCCTTCCCAGAACAGCCCAACATTGGCTCAATTGCGCTCCTTAAATTCCAAGTGACAGTTGCTTCCAAAGCCTCATGATTTGGGAGAAGCCTTCCAAGACTTGGCTGGTGGCTCAAAAATAGGGTAACCCCAAAATGGCTTGCCCAATCGGCAAATGGACAAATAGGCCAAAATTCCCGCGGCCCGATGCCTGGTTGAATTCTTTGCCCCATACCCAAAAATAGGGTAACCCCGAAATGGAGCCCAGGTAAATGGACACCTAGACGCAGCGTCCTGCGGTCCGATTCCCGGTTGAACTTTTAAGCCACTGAATTCCACCCGCTCCTTGGCTCCGCGCTGGACTCCACGGAGTCTCGCCCCGGGGCTCCTCGGATTGATGTTCGGTAGGCCCCCGGCCGACGGAGTGCTGGCCCCAGGACTGCCAGTCCGGGAGCCAAGGGACGGGTTGACGGACGGACGGAATGAGAAGAACGCACCACTTTGGAACCAGGGGAAGCCATTGCCGGTGGGTATGGACGGGGGGAAACCATGGGGAAACCATTGCTTTGGAACCAGGGGAAACCAGAATGTTTGTTGGTATTTACAGGGGAATCGAATCATATCAGGGTTTCTGAGGTAAGCCATGGGAAAGCATTGTTTGTGGGTATTGAAACCATTGTTTGTCAATGTCAATGGCATCAGTGCTTCTTTCCCGCCAGCCCCTACTGTGGATGGACAGAATCCATTTCGCACCACTTTGAATCCACGGGAAACCACAACGTTGGTGGGTATTGACAGGGGAATCATCACTCTCGGGTTTCTTAGGTGGTGCGAATTGGATTTCGTCCATCCACAGTATCACGCGTGGACGGGGCGATCGACGCGGATTCGGTGCATCAGGTCAGTAGCGGACCCCCCCGCGCCCTTTTTTACATGGACAGGTTCCGTATTAGTTGGTGGGAGGGTAGCAAGCCTGGTGAAGTACCCGAGGAGACTTACAACCATGGCTTTTGTGGGTTACTTCACCAGGCTTACGATCACCACTTGCTAAGTAGAATGCCCTTTTAAGCAGGCAACCTCGACGCACTCGGGGAACCTCTCGGGTTTACATGTCCTATGCGTGGGCTCCAGACATGTAACTAAGAGATCCGGGAGGCGCAACACCAATTTCCGTCGTCTTGTATTCGCGTGTGCTCTTTTCCTCTGCCCGGGCGGGGGGTTTTGGGGGTGGGGGGTTGACATGTGGGCGTGACTGGTTGTATTTCAACTCAACAGCTAACCTGGCAAGTCAGGAACAAGATCTTGAGATCCTCATGTTTCTTGAGGCTACTCTGGAAAAGCAGGCCTTCTTGTTGCTCCACACATGGGTGCTTGGAGCATTTGCGCCTTTTTGAAGGGAAGGAGGTGTTGAGGGAAGTCATACGCCTCGTGCTCCGCGAGTCGTGAAAATGGCCGAATGGCCCGTATGACAATGCTTCAAACTGCACTCTTTGCCTCTGCTCCCAGCGTTGTGGTTTGACCAAGCCCCAGTTTCAGATGTAAACATCCATTGAAGCAGCCTCCTTCTGCTCAGCGATGCTTTTCTGGCTTCAGCCACTGCCGAACCTCAGCCCTTGGCACTCGCATGTCTTGAGGTGGGGCGAGTGGCGCGACTGGGAGAACGATGGCGTCTCGGGCCTTTGCTTCAGGAAGAGGCGACGTGGCAAAAAAACGGGGTCTCCCAAAAGGACATGGCACGCCAGAAATGGCATTAAAAGAAAGGGGGGGTCCTTGTTGAATTTGGGCGGATTCGTGAAGCATTCCCAAATAGCCACAAGCAGAGTGCTTGGAAGGCAATTGCTACTGGTTGTGAGTTATGAGGGTCGTTGCACCCGGAGAAGGCTCCCTGAAAGAAGATCTGCAATTTACCCTCACGACCTAGTGCTGGCGAAGCCCCTTGCCTTTTTGTTCGTTTGATTTTGAACCAATGCGCGATTCGAACTCGGAGAGGGAGCCCTGGCCTCAGATCAGCGCCGCTTCGAAGCGTTTTGGGTGCCAGGCACTTCAGCCCCAGCGTGTGCGGCGGGGTGCAATGCCTTGGCCTCACCAAAGACAGCATGTGCGCCACGCCTGGTTGACGGGTGCACCAGGGTTTTGGGGGGAGGGGCGCTTTGGGGGGGGGGAAACCAGCGCTTTGGGGGGGGGGAACCAGGGTTTTGGGGGGAGGGGCGCTTTGGGGGGGGGAAACCAGCGCTTTGGGGGGGGGGAACCAGGGTTTTGGGGGGAGGGGCACTTTGCGGGGGGGAAACCAGCGCTTTGGGGGGGGGGAACCAGGGCTTTGGGGGGAGGGCGGGGGTTTTGGGGGGGGGGGGAACCAGCGCGTTGGGGGGGGGGGGGGAAACCAGGGCTTTGGGGGCTTTGGGGGGGGGAACCGGTGACGACATGGCCCGGATAGAAAGACCCATGCCTGCAAATGGGGTCAATAGTCTTTGAGGCAACAATCTTGAGACTCCTTTGCGGTTCAGAATATGCTTCGTGGAAGTCATTCTGTGCTGAGCTGATGAAGGATGGACCCTTTTTCACTGGGATGCTTTATGAGAGGAAGTCGTCTCGAGACAGCAGCCCCTGGCAGAATATTTGCCTCACACCATAGGGGATTATGTAGGACCTCCTCACGAATGCTGGCGACTTCTGTTGCATCGCAAACGGACAATGTAGCTTGTGGCCACAACCTCATCGATTTCCAGCGGCCCTGAGTTTTCTCAAGGGCCAGTGATACTGGTAGGAAGGCAGGTCAGAGGGGGGGGGGGGCAAATCCATTCGCATGATCTTGTTTCATTCACAAAGATGCGGGCAGGTTTCTGAGATGAAAGATACTGGAAACAAATATGGGCAGTTCAAGCACGCACACCCTATTTAGGGTTTTGATACATGGGCATTGTGTTGCCTTTGAAAAGAAACATCGCGGGGTTCCGCTATCAGTCCAATCAGAACACCTCCTCATTCGGTAAGATGCCGCTCTGCAAGCAACTCATCTTGCCGAATTGCTGAGTCCCTACCCCACGGAATGGCAAGAAAGGGCATGCTTCAATGTGTGTGAGGAAGGCTGTAACCTCCCCCCCTGTCCCCCCGTCCAGCCGCCCGACATGTCCAGCCAGGGATTGCGACATCACAGTGCATCCGCCAGAGCCGTGTGAGTGGGGGGGCCCAACATGCAGGCTGTACCAAGTTGGCGGAACGGCGTGAGGCTACTTGGGACATGCTGGAGATTGCAGGCGATTCAGGAGGCTTACCTCAATGAGAGTGTTGTTGTGAGGTCTACCGTGCCATATAGATGGGATGGTTTCATGGTCTCGGGCAGGTGGTTGTGTTCAGTTCGCTGTTAGATCAACAGAGACCTTTTTTGGGCCATACTTACCCCCAACAACACCATCTTGATTCCGCAAACTGCATGGCTGGCTGCTTCCTACTTAAAGGGGTGATCGGGTACGTAGTAATCAAGTGGTTAGTAAGCCTGGTAAAATAACCCACACGCGCCATATTTGTTCATCTCCGTTCAGGTTAGAACTTAGGGACTTAGAACTGGGCTTACTAGCCACTCATGGCCGATCGCCTACTAGTCAGTAGTGCAACTAGTAACCTGATATCACGCATATTAGTATCCTGACATTTAGACTTACTAGCGACGAGTAACCTGACTTACTATACCTGACGTAGCCTGCGCCGATCGCCCCTTGAAGTGGGGCGTTCAATCCCCGTTCCCCGCTCGCCTTCTGGTGCCCCGACCTGGCCTCGCGACGCGCTCTGAGGTTTGGCCCCTGGGGCGAATGGAGTGCCTGCGATGCTCAGAGCTTGCAGATGCGCCGCCCTGAGAGGAGAAGGCGGGTGCTACACCCCAGGCGAAAACACAAAAGTGTGCAAGTGATTCAACCTCTTGTGCCTGGCGTCTCCATGACCCTTTGAAAATGGGGTTACCCAAAATTAAGCGGTTATGACCCCTTCTTCTAGGGGTCATGGAGACGTCTGGAAAAAGATACACCCACACACATTGCTGAAGGTTTTGGTTGGTTCTGCCAATAGGATCAGGACCTCAGGTAGCCCTGAATTGGTGGTTTGGATTGGTTTGGATTGGTTCGGATTCGGAGTTGAAGCCCAGCGGCTTTTGAAACCAAATGAGAAAGGTAGCCCCCAGCATCCAAGCTACCGGGCTCCAAACCACCAATTGGAGAGAAGCTGAGGACCAGTCTGACAGCAGGCATTCCAGAGAACTGAGCCCGATTAGCAGGAATGCGAGCTGGTGCATTGCTTGAGCGGCAGGTTTCTTCGCCAGGGCCAAGGAAGCAGAAACATGTTCATTCTTTTGCGCACCACACGCATTCCCATAAATTCTAGCAAAAGCGAGATGATGTAAAAAGCAAAGCTACATGTGAGAAGGCTCGAAGAATACCAGGCTTCAACCCCCCCCTCCCCATCGAGTGTCGTTGCATGATAAGGTCCCGGCAGCGGGCGGTGGCGAAGGAGCCCCAATTCGGCGGCGATGCCTGCGAGGATTGCGTGGGTGGGGATGACGGCTGAGAGCTGCGAGCGTGACGATTGTAAGAAGCTGAACAGAGCTCGCTCAATTTCTGTTATCAACCTGGGGGAATCAGGTCCGATCAGTTTTTGATGAGCTTCCTTGGTCCTTTGCATGTGCTGTTTGAGCCATATTTGCCTTCGTTTGCCGCTTCCAGGATTTGAAACGATGAGTAGGCTGAACAGCGTACCAGGGCTGGTCTGCCTGTTTGGTTGGTTGATTGGTTGGTTGGTCGGCTCTGGTTTTGTTTGACCCACGTGTAGGCCACTGAAACAGCGTCAGCCCCACATGAGGCATGCCCGAACCCCCCTCGCCTGATGTTTGAGTAGAAATAGACCTTTGCTCGCGCTTGATTTTCATCCAAGCCTTTGCAATCTTGGAGCCACAAGTGAAGGGGTTTGGAGGAAGGCTCTATGATTTCAAGAGGGAGGTGTTTTTTTGTTTTGTTGTTTTATTCCCTTTCTCCGTTTTGCGCCGTCGAATGTCGCGCAGGGCCCGCTGGTCCTCACGGAGCCCTGTGGCAACCGGATCATCCCGGCTCGGGGCCCCGTTTTCCGAAGGGGAGGTGAGTGGAGTTGGGCAGGTGGACGAAATCCGCACGTCGCACCACCTCAGAAAACCCTGAAATGATTCGATTCCCCTGTAAATACCAACAAGCAGTGTGGTTTCAACCAGGGTTTGCAAGCGGTGCAGGATTTCGTCCATCCACAGTATGTGCGTGAATCTTGTTTTGCGGGGACCCCTCAAAATTGTGGTTTTCCTCTCTGTTGTTTGGTTCACCTCGCTGATCTTCCAGGTTTCAGCCAGAGTCAACATTCACCGGATGCAATTGAGACTGATTCAAGCGGCTGTTGGCAAACGCTCTAGTTCGGGTCCATCTTGCGCGTTGTGGACAAGGGAGACGATCTTTACCACGAGCGCTCCAAACCGCCCGAGATGTCCCCAAAGCGAAGAGAGAGAGAGAGATAGAGAGAGAGAGAGAGAGCCGCATGCCACTTAAAGGGGCGACCGGGGACTTAGCAAGTGCGTAGTAGACTTGGTTATAACCCGCAAAAGCTATCATTATAAGTCTCGTATGTGGGTTATAGCTATAGCTAATAACCAGGCTGACCAACCGCTTGCCTGAAGTACCCTTCATCGATTGCCCCTTTAAGCGCTTCTTTGGGGCACGGTGTGCTTCGGCGAGCCTTCAGCCGAGGTGCCTTGCATCTTGGGCGACTGGATGGAGTGGTCCGGCTGCAGCAGAGAGCCGGGGACTCGGCATAGGCGAGCTCTTCGTGCAGAAGGAAGGCCACCTTTTGGGACTTGGCCCGAAGGGACCGGAGACCCGGAGACCCGTTGGTTTTTAGGTGACAGACAGAGTGAATGGTGAACCTTGGTCCCAGGTCCCAGGTCCCAGTGCCCGGCTGCAAACCGCTGTGTCTACTTGGGGCGATCGATGCAGGCTACGTCAGGTAGGTACTTAAGTAGGCGTGGTTGTGTTTGTTCTAACCCACTGAACGGAGAGACTGATAACCATGGCTTTGTGGGTTATCCCACCACAGTAAGCCTGGTCACTTACTAAGTACCCTGCCCCTTTAAGTTCCCTCCAAAGAGAAATGCTCATAGTCCAAGAGAACCAACTCCAGCTTGTTGTGAGCCCAAGCAGGGACTCTCCCGATCTACCGTCTGAACGGCTTTCCATTTCGGTTGACATGGCACTGAGGTGCGGTGGCGGGCAGCAGACGCAGGTGCGAGCCATTACCCAGAAGGCGCTTGTGACGCCGCTGTGGTCATATTCCTGGGGGTATGGCTCGTGCTTGGAACGGCGAGGAATCAGGTTCATCGTTCTCCGCATGTTTCTGAGGAACCCTGGTGAGAGATGAGAAAGGTTTTTTTGTTGCCCACACTCCGGGTGTGGTCACAACGTCTTGGCCGCACATAGGTTTCAACACTCATTCTTTAGTTCGACCTGAGTGTGAAATGACCAGAGATTGAGCAGTCATTGTTCAGGGCTGGGAAGTTGAGGAGACTCCAGGGAGCAATAGCTTTTCTTGCGGGATCGCTCACAAATGACTGTGTCAAGCTTGGCCATAGTGCAATATCTCATTCAAGATGATCATGGACAATCTATGACCTGCTGAGTTCCTGATTGTGGGTTCACGTGGAATAACTAGTTGGAAGTAAATACCCATGGGAAGTAGTGAGGAAAACGGGAGGTGGCCCTGTCTAACAAATCCGAGAAAACTCGAGCTGCTTGTGGCTATATTGCCCGCGACATTTGTCCATTGATGGCGCAAATCATTGCGACAGCTTGCTGCCATGGGAATCTGTGCCTGACTGGCTAGCTAATGACAGAAACCAGTGCTTGGAATGGATGGTCCAGACCAGGAGAATTTGTTTTCCGGGTGTGTGGAGTTGGGCGCTAACCCTTTGTCTCTCATGGTGCGGGGACCCCAATCGACTTTTTTTGAAGGGGTCGATCGAAGCGATTCCAAAGTTGTGTTTCCGAGGGACAAGTCCCGGCATGTCGACTTTCGTTGATGTAGATGGTGGCTGAGTGAGGCAGGTTTGGAGGACGTGTACGAATAATAAGGTGTATGTTCACTACATATGTACATATACACATGCATAGTAATCCCACATTGGGGATATATCCCTTGACGGTCTTCGAAACATTTCAGCTGGCACAAACCGATTTGCACAGATGCCTTTCCATTTGAATCTCATTGACCAAATTGCCCCTATGGAGGCAGATGTTTCAACCAAATCAGCGGACGTCGGCCAAGTTCCTGCTGAAACCCATGGAGTTTCTTTGTGCGCCACAGGCGGCTGCCGGAGGAAAGCTGTGCGAGGGGGAGGACGGCAGGCGCACCCGAGGGGGGGTAGCCAAGCAAACAATACTAAAAGGGCAAATTTCCTTTTGATCACTGAAATTGGTGCTGTCTGTTCTGTTACTTTCCCAGTTTGGGTTGCCGCCATAGGCTTGAAATTTCGCTGGAGGGCACAGCCCCCTTTAACTGTACCGCTCAGAGGAAGTATGTGTTGGATTCTGCATGAGAAACGCGAGGGTGGTCAGGGGAGAGGGTGGGGGTGCAACACTTGGTTTGAGCTGTTGGTTGTTGTCGGCACCAATGAGACACACTTCTGCCCCAATCCACACCGTGACTTCAAAAAGCCCACACGCTTGCGAAGAATGATTCACTGACCACGCAAGTCGGCAGCTCAACAGCATGCGCCATGTGCAGTGTCATGCTTGTACCAACCTCGGCTTGCTCTTTTTGTTTTCCAGTCCTAGACACAAGAACACATGGCAGGGATCCACAGAACGCCTGGCAACAAGCCAACCCTTGGTGAACGCACCGGATACAGCAACGAATTTGGCGAATAGTGTACAACACTGCAACTTGTTTTCATTCCTTTCCGGTGCCACCCACCGGCCGCCTGGTCCGTTTGCATTGCTGGACGGGTTTTAGAACGCCTTTCAGAGCCACACTTGTAACAGATCATTTTGTACCGAGCTTGGTAGCTTTAGCCATCCATCCCCAACCTTCTTTTGGATAGGCAAGTTGCGCGGTCCCCCCCTCCTCCCTTCCTCCTTTGCATTCACTAGCAACTGCGTCCGACAAGACCCAAAACCAGACCTCCAGGTCTGCTTTCAATTGCAAGACTTGACTCACCCAAGCCTGAGGGTCACCAACGCTGACAGCCCAAAGCTCCCCGGCAACATGTTTCTGCCAGTGGCAGCGAGTTTCGGAAGACTTTGCTGGCGGGAGCCGCTTGCTAGAGCCGCAACTTGCTGGTGCGATTGGCAGGCAATGAGGGAATGACGCTTTTCAACCATCCTTTTTTAAAACATATTGATTGATTTATTTGTTTTAAGGTATCGCACCTTCTTGCAGCACCCCCCCCCTCATGCGAATCCTTCTGGGCGATGCGACAGCGGCAGGGCTTTGGTCCTCCAGAAGACCCAGCCATGCAACGTGGGCATCACCTGCGGGGGCGAGCCGGTGCCGCAGGTGGGAGCTCGGGAAAATCGGGGAGCTCGGGGACCCCAAATGTCATACATGGGGCTTTTTTTTTCTTTCTCAAAATGCCACCAGGAATCGGACCGCATTTTTGGTCCATGTTTCCATTTTCCGGGGCAAGCCATTTTGGGTACATATTTTTTGACCCCCCCGCATGGGGAGCTTCGGGGGGCTTGGGGTGCCATTCGCGTCTATTCCTCAAGCCCAGGAAGCTCAAGCTTGGGAGTTTGGAAGCGTTTTTCGGGCCTTGGGTGTTTTTTCTTCCCAGTTTTGCCGCCTCACCAAAAAACGACATGAGCAAACTAGATTTTTGCTTGGGAGCAAGGATGTCTTGCTTTCATGCTCCTGATTGACTTGCCATTTATTTGCATGATCCTCAACTGACTAATTTAAGATGTTGGAACAAGTGAACAAGAATTCCTGAGCTTAGGACCATGACCATCCTTTTCCATTTTTCGGGAGACTTGACCACGTATAGCTGCCTTGCTCAGCAGTCAAGAGACGGAATATGTTCTGAACAGACCGACACTGGTATCCAGTTTGCATTTTTTTGAAATACCGCTAGAGAGTTTGTTGAGTGCAGGTTGGCTTAGTTTCCAAAACTTGTTACCAGGATGAGTCCTTTCCACTTAGCAGAGATCTTCTGTTTGATTGCCAAGCCATGGCTACAGGCATGACAGGGGTGTTTGTTGCCACTCGAAGGATCATCCAAGTCAACCACAGCCATGATCAGACTGGACTGATCTTTCCTTGCTCACTGTCTTCACAACCTTGCTTCTCTCCACGGCTGGGACACTGGCCTTGTCGTCGTCCCTTGTTCCAGCGCGAGGAGGAACATCCCTCCTGAAGAGAGTTGCCAGCAGTCGCTGACTCGCGGACTATATTCAGAAGGTGGTGGTTTGGTTCCACGTGTTTTCCCGAACCTTTTCTCGCACTTGTTTGCAGGGCTCCGAATTCGACCCTTGCGCGTTCGAGCAGACTCGTGCCAGGACTGCTTGGTGAGCGAGTGGAGCGAATGGCATGGGCCCCGAGACCTGACAACAGGGATGTTACTTGTCCTATGACAAGTCCCATGGCCACAAACCAGTCTGAACTACAAATTAATCCGTGCTTCTTTCGCAGAATCAGCTCCTCCTTTTTCTTTTTGTTCTTCTTTTTTTGGGGTTGCCTTTGCTTTCCACTAAGCAGGCAACAAATCACGCTTTTTTGCCGGGGTCCTAATTCCAGCCAAGGTTCGTCCTGTACCGTAGGCATGGCCATACATTGGTGAGCATGACCACAACCCCCCCCATCCCCGCACACACACACATGGCTGTGGGTCAAAAGAGGTATCCAAAATGGAACCCTGGTAAGTGGCAACATGGACCAAAACCTGTGGTCCCCTGGGTGGTTTAATTTTGACCCACACCCACATACGCACGGAGTTGTGGCCATGGCACGAACCGCTGTTCTTGCTTGAGGGTACAAAGGCACCCAACTGTTGGATGCGCTAGGGAGAGGATCTCAGGACAGCGGGTGTCCTTTTGGTCCCCGGTGGAGCATCCATAGCTGGTTCCCAGAAAGGCAGAGTCAGACATGGCCGGGACCGTGGGTCAACACCAATGCGATCCCATTTTGGTTGGTAGGTGAAATCACCACCCATTTTAGGCTTTATTGTAGTGGGGATTGGGATGTTCACTGGGGGTACAGGGTTTTGACCCATAGCCACATGTTTGATTCAGAAGCCATGAGAAGTGGGCATGCCATTTACTTCTGGTTTCCCTTGGGTGGTTGCCATTCAGATGGCAACACGTTTGTTGTCTGGAATTAGCAGGGATTAGCAGGGAATCACTATGTTTTGTGGTGTCTCCTTTTTAATCCACAAAGAACACTCCAAACCATACATGGATGGGGATTTCCGTGTTTCTTTTTTCTTTGGGGGTAGACCTCCTTCAATACCGGGTTTTCTCTATGACTCACTTTTGGTGCGTGAATTGCAGTTGAGCCAAATCAATACTGCTGTCAATGTTTTGACAAGCGAGCTTGCCAAGTTATGTTACGCGTGAATACATACATATCTATATATATATATATATATATACACATACACCCTCCCACCAAGTAACATGGAGCCTGACAGTCTGACAGGGGGTCCCTTTAAAAGGAACATGATCTTCCAGGGCCCTGTCAGGTTCCATGTTGATTGGTGGGAGGCTACCCTCTGGCTAACAATGGAAGTGGATAGGGGGAAAACCCCAGAAGCAGACAACTAAATTAAATAGAACATATGTATATACATATATATATATACATACACATATACATACACATATATATATATACATATATATATATACATATATATATATACACATGTGTATACATATATATATATATACATAAGATATCTTCAATTCGATACATCTACATGATTCCCCAGCGCAAGGTCCGCCTGTGACCCCGACGTGCCGAAGCGCGCGCGGCAGCGCTACCGCACCCGCTCCATCGCGGTGCCAGGCGCTGTTCGTCTGGGCGTCTGGGACGGGAGCCGAATCAGCGATACGAGGTGAAAGGGAGGGAAAGGACCCCTGGCCTCCCCCCTTTTGGGGTCAACCTATGTTTTCACCACAGCCATTTGAGGTCTATACACCCGGGCCGCCATCCATTCCCCATCGCACACTTGAACTAAATCTTGGATGCTTTCTGCCTATTTGATAGCGAGCTGAGAGGCAGTTGAGGCCGATTGGGAAGCCAAGAGAGGCAGTTGAGCCACGTCCTCAAAACCGATTCGGGCAGATGAAGGTTAGCAAGGGAGCATCCCCTTGCCGTAAATGGGTGTGGATTTCCGCCTTTTTGATTCTTTACATGGCTCCGGGTAGACCATTTTAAGACCTGGTTTTGATTCTGACTCACCCGGCCGCCATCCCCCATCGTTTCAAAATCGTGGATGCTTTGGATGAAGTTTGCTGGAAGACCAACATTTTTTGTTCGACTTAGTCGAGATCCTTCTCTGGCTGTCATCGTAGAGAGGTTTGTTCGATACTCGGAGATATCAAGAGGGCTGCCGATGTGGTTTGGGCCAACAGATCCTGGTATCTCAATGCATGGCTTACAGGTGGGATTCCGTGAGCATTCTGGTTTCTCCTCTCTGCCCGGAACGGCGGGCCACTTGAAGGTGCCGGCGAGACGGAGAAAAACGTATTTCTGGAGCTCCGCAAGAGTAACCACTGGGCTTGCGTTTCCTTTGCGTCCAAGGTCTTCAAGAACAAGTTGGTCAAAAAAGCACGTCGCCAAAGGCGGCCACCCAGCTCTGAAGGGGCCATGGTTGTGGATATGATATGATTCCTTGAACCAGAATGTTGGCTGTGAAAAGGACCCCTCTTGAGGCCAGCATGACCATCTCCCCGCTGAGTTTGTGATTACACACGCGAGCTGAGCATGGTACCAATAGGCGGTTTTTGTCTTTGTCCCCATGCACAACGCTTCCCACGTGTACAAATAGTTTTTTGGACACACCTTGCCTAAAGAGGCTTTCCCAGGAAGATTCTAAGCCATGCCCCGAACGAGTCTGTGCCAGGGAAGTGGGGTGGCTCTGCTTGCTCCTCCAGCCTGTCAGAGACGCAGGGCTGTGAGGCAGGGTGTTGGATCATATTTTGTGGGCAAAATTGTTGGTTGGCTTGGAGCGGGCAGTGTAGGAGGTCGGAGCGTTTAGGGAGGCTGGAGTTTTTGTTGAAGCCGTTTTCGGAGGGGTCCAACCAGCATCACGCATGGTTCGACAACTTCCTTGCAGGGAAGGCCGAGAACGTTCAGAATGTGTTTCGAACTGGCACCGCAGCAGGTCAGTCGAGGATCACACTGTCCTGGGTGAATGGGCACGGACTAGGGGCCAGTGATGTTTGGCTGTGTGTCAAGATAAGCGGGCCTTACTCGGTGAGCCGTGCCTTTCCTCTTTGAGCTTTGTGAGGTCTCAGCTTGCCCATACTTCCAAGTCCTGTTTTGGAGGGCACTGCTGGTGTGGGCGCTTCCTGAAACATCACGCCCGCTCTTGGCGGTTTGAAGGGCAACGCTAGAGCTTCGATGGATGGCAGTTGTTCCGAAGGTTCAATACTTGAAGCTAGCCATTTGATCTCCTCTCTGGCACTCCACCTTTTCCGTAAGGAAGCCATCAAAGGGTGCGGGCTTGCTACGGAGTTGAGAAGCTGTTGGCCAAGGGATTTGCAGACCCGCTATGGGCGATGACATGGAAACGTTCAGACGTCCACAAGGAGCTTTGCAGGTCGCAGGGTTAGATGATGCATCATGCGGCATCTGTACCCCATGCTGCCTTCTTTTTGACTCAAATTGAAACATGGTGCACTTGCGCACAGCTCTATAGCCGGTCTGCGAGCAGACACTTGGATGGAGCATCATCGTTGGTTGTTTTCCTGCCAATGAGCAGTTGGCGTTTTACGCCAACTAGGTCCGGTGTTCATGTCTTTCCGTCCCGCATAATTCTAGTCCCAACCCTGTTCACAGTTCGGATCTAGTCATGTTGCCTCCATGGTCGCAGCTGGTAGGCCTTGTTTGGCAAGGCTGATGGTGGATTTCCCGCACCCCCCAACAAGCAAGACATGCTTCACGCGGTGCATGCAAAGAAACGGCAGCTTTTCGTTCGAAAGCGAGCTGCTCCTTCTGGAGCTGCTGGATCCGCCAGAAGTGTTCCGGGCATCGACTTTTGGGTGCCAGGAGTCAGAGTACCTCCCGCCCGTGGATTGCAGGCAGGATGCTTGTGGAACTGGGACTTTTCGACCCCAATGGACTCTGGGACAGAGAAAAAGCTTGCCACCCGCGCGAAAGAACAAATCTACCTCCGGTCCTGGGAAGAAAGTGTTAAAGAGTTTCTACTTTTTGACGCTGTCAAAAAGGACTTAAGCCAACTCCCTGTGTTGGAGTGTAAGAGCCAAAGAAATTGTTCAAGATGCAGCACCCGAACATAACAAATCACACAATATACAGAGGCACGCCGCATGTTTCCCAGATTTGGACCCTGATTTGTGTATACTTTCTTTCAAACACAACCGGACTTCTTCTTTGGTAACAATCGCTCTCATACACATTTCCAGTTGGCCGGAATGATAGGTTGTTCGCGACCAGCACAATGATGCGAATTGTGACCGTGCATACGTAAAGTTGTTGTTGAAGATAGATCCGTCGGGGACAATTTGTTGGCAGTTGATTCAAGGCGCCCTTGACACGTGAGCATGACAAAAGCTCTATTGTTGGCCAGTTTGTTTGGATTGTTCTACTCCTAATCCTCTACAAGCATGTTTCCAGAACCAATCTTCAATAGGTCAAGAGTCAATAGTTTTTGGGCGCTGCTTGCTGTACATACAAGCCAACGAGGGGCTTATCGGATCCGTGTGTTTGTGCGTGTGTGTGTGTGTGTGTGTGTGTGTGTGTGTGTGTGTGTGTGTGTGTGTGTGTGTGTGTGTGTGTGTGTCTGTCCACATGGTGGTAAGGATCCCTAACAATGGAAGCACCCCCTGGCTTCTTGCCTGAGTCACCGAGCCGAGTCACGGAGTCACGGAGAGGTTGTCCTCCTGGAGCGCCTGGAACCTGTGCGACAAGACCTGCCAGGGAGGGCAGACCTTCCGGCACCGCACGGTGGAGGCGACGGCTTTCGGGGCTTTGGCTGGGCCACGGTTTTTTGGGAAGGGAGGGGGGGTTGGCTCCTGAAGGCCATCCGGTCCGTTCGCCCTTTTTCAGATCCTTTTTAGTTGGTTTAGTGGTTGGGTTTCCGAGTGTAACCCACTGAAAGGTTAGTCAGTTTTGGCAGGGGATCTGAGGACAGCCCAGGGAGGGGAGGGGAAGAGAGACGGTGTAAGTTGTTGCAGGTGCCGCGAGGAAACAATGGTCTTAGACATGGCTGAAGATGCATCGCAATTTGGTTCACGGATTCGAACGCAGGCGATTATTGACCCCAGAGCGCACCCTCGCGGAGAGGAAGCCCAGACCAGTCAGACCGACCCGTCCAGGTTGGTTTCCTTTCGGTTTCCCCTTCAAAATGTCCAAAAAGGGGGTCCATTTCCCATTTTGAGATTCACTTAAAGGGTTAGTACGCCCGGTTATAGCCCACAAACAGTTATAAGTCTCTGTTCAGGTGGGTTACTTCACCAGGCTTGCTCTCACCACTCATCTGACGAACCGAGTCGATCGCCCCAAGCCTTTGGCTTCAGACTCCTTCGCCAGGTGCCAGGAGAACATGGCGGCCGTCCCTGCCAGGACTGCCGTCTGGTGGTCTGGTGGTCTTTCGGACACGTGGCCACTCCGGGCATCTCATCCCCTTTTTTTTTGCGGCGCGGTATGTTCTCCCAGGCTTGAAGCTACTCGAATGTTTCTGGCGCGAAAGGGCTTCCTCCTCCCAATAAACCGGGATCTCCCAAGTTGCAACTGAGTCGGACACTAGCTGGGTTCTGATGAACGAGCTCCGGCTTGCACCAAGGGACAGCCACGCTTGCATCCAAGTGCGCATTCCGTTCGAACCGCTTGAGGGGCACTGAATTGAAACACTTCTGGCTGTTGATGCATTGTCAGCTTCCCGTGCCCCCAGGCCGCGTTTCTTTCGTGTGCGAAGTATTTTGGGGCATGTTCCGCACGTTTGACCCGGCAGAGCACAGGTTTTTTCGTTGCGTTCCACGGCTGTGTTGGTCGGCCAGGGCCAAACCAGAGAAGCTGCAAAGATGTGTTCAGTGGTCGAGGGTTTCTCTGCAAGTTTAGTCAGCTGGCCATGGTCATCATGAACTGTAAGAGGCATGAGGAGTCGCAAGCAACTGAGGTTTACTGAGATCACTGCTTCCTTTCAGGGGCACAAGCAGGCCCCACAGCAGAACCTAGGGGCAGACTCTGACATTCATTTGCGACACTGAGATGTGACCCCCCTCAAACCCTTCAAAGCTCAGGAGACCCAGTGCCACCCAATTGACCCACGGGAGCTCAAGCCCTCCCGTGCCCAGCGTGTCCAGCATGTCGATTGCCAGGATGCCTTGAACGAGACGCAGCCCTGCAACGAGTTCCCATGCCTGGTGGACCCCTTGGCGAGGCAGGCAGTCTCTCGAATGGATGCGTGGCGTTTGCTCCCTAACGTCCGGCCCCCTGAACTTGGAAGCTCAGAGGACCTCTTTGGAAGACTAACCAACCAACCAACCAACCAACCAACCAACCAACCAACCAACCAACCAACCAACCAACCAACCAACCAACCAACCAACCAACCAACCAACCAACCAACCAACCAACCAACCAACCAACCAACCAACCAACCAACCAACCAACCAACCAACCAACCAACCAACCAACCAACCAACCAACCAACCAACCAACCAACCAACCAACCAACCAACCAACCAACCAACCAACCAACCAACCAACCAACCAACCAACCAACCAACCAACCCAACCAACCAACCAACCAACCAACCAACCAACCAACCAACCAACCAACCAACCAACCAACCAACCAACCAACCAACCAAACCAACCAACCAACCAACCAACCAACCAACCAACCAACCAACCAACCAACCAACCAACCAACCAACCAACCAACCAACCAACCAACCAACCAACCAACCAACCAACCAACCAACCAACCAACCAACCAACCAACCAACCAACCAAACCAACCAACCAACCAACCAACCAACCAACCAACCAACCAACCAACCAACCAACCAACCAACCAACCAACCAACCAACCAACCAACCAACCAACCAACCAACCAACCAACCAACCAACCAACCAACCAACCAACCAACCAACCAACCAACCAACCAACCAACCATCTCGTTTCCATTTACGGAGGCCTTCTCGGAGCTTCCGGCTGTTAGTCTTTTGCACCGGGCGAGGGCCCTTTGCAAGTTCCCTCCTAGCACCTCCTTGTAGCCAACCACTTCTCCCAGAATTTATGATAAGGGACGCCACATCCATGCACTGGACACATTTCTTCATCCAGTAGCAAGTTGGAGACATAATGAGTGTCAATGTCATGCTCGAAGTTTCATCAAGAGGATGAATGCGATGAGCTAAACTGTTAAAACTGTTATTGATCGAGTCTATCTGGTTTTGTTTGTCATGAACAGTGCCTTCATTGTCAACTGCCTACATGCCATTGGGAGTCAACTGAAACAATGCACATGACGCACACAGTACATGGCACAGATACAGATCCCCGCAGCGACGGAAGAGGCGCCGAAGTGCTTTTTGTTGGTTGGTTCCGAAGGGCAGCCAGAGGAAGCCAAAGGGAAGCCGAAGGGAAATCAAAGGAAAGCAAAGGGGAAGCTCCAGAGCCTGAAATCAGCTTCCCTCTGGTTGGTGGTTTGGAGGTGGTTTCCCACTTACCTTCTACAAGAACCAGGGGTTCGAATCCCCAAACCACCAATCCAAGCCACCAATGAAGTGTTCCCTGATCAATCTCTCTTAGCCTTCCGAACCCACCCTTTACCCGCCAGAAGACCAATCCAAACGGAAAGTTTCATAGGAGTGAACCCGATGAAACTCCCGAACCCACCGAATGCCAGGGACTGTCAGATGTCGCTCTGGACCGAGTGGAGCGGCTGCAGCACCACCTGCGGTGAGGCCAGACCTGCGGGACCCGTCGGTTGAGATCGGCGAACTATTTTGACCCAGGCACGACACCGATTGATTCACCATCCTGTCCCTTAGCCCTTTCTCAGATCCTTCTTGGTTGGTTTAGTGCTCGGGTTTCCGGGTTTTGACCGACGAACAAGTTGAGAACTTGTCGCGGCTGGTGGGATTCGGATCCCCGCGCTTTTGGGGAATGGTCCATCAGGTTGCGATCTGGGGTCAGCATGAGGAGGGTTTTTTTTCGGACTTCTGCCTGGCTTTCCAAGCACGCGGGGTTTGAGGGCTTGCGTTGCTTCGCTCTGGTGGGCTTTCTTTGTGTTTTTTTTTTTGGATTTTTTGGATGGGTTGAAGATTCAAGTCCAGAACTCTGGTCCTGCAAATCGAGAGACCTGACCTCTGCGACTTCTGCCCCTTGACTTCAGGAAACCTAAGCTGGCCTGGCACCGGCCACAGGTTGGTGCTGTCGTTCTTGCTACGTGTCATACACTCGGAGGGAGCCTATTTTTACAACCTAACTAGATTCTGATGAATCGACCTAGCTCCTCCTCCCTCAACCCCTCCACCACCCGCCTACCCGCCCACCCCCAAAGCCCACACCAACCCCCACCCCCCTCCAACTCCCACCCCGCAAAGCTTGGTGGCTCCCAGCCATCCAGTTCCTTAGCTTTGTAGCCTTTTAGTGTTTAGTGGTGGTTTCCATTTAACCCCCTAAAGTTAAGCTTTTTAGCGGGGGGATCTTCAGCTGCTAGGGCGTGAAGCACCGGGACCGGGCAGTGCTCGCTCCGCCGCTGGAGGGAGGCCGCTTGTGGTCGGCTCTGGGCGATCGGGAGATCTCGCCGGACGTTGGGGAAGTTGGTCTCCGGTTTTTTGTTGGGGGCTTTGGCATAGGCCCTACTTAGCCAGGCCTGGTCGATTGCTTGATGGTTTGGGTGGTTTGGTGGTTTGTGAGTTGCTTGGTGGCTTGGTGGCAGTGGCTGCGCCAGTGTTGCAGTTGTCGGGGTTTGCTTTAGGAGTTTGGTTCCACCAAACCAGCTGAACACCAACAAACCACAAACATGACAACTACTAGCCCAACACTTGTCGAACAACTCCTCAACCAGCCCTAAGCCGACAACATATCAGACCGGATCTCATCACTAACCCTGCCCAACCCAAGCTCACACCAGCGCAAGACGAACCCAGACCCCTAGCTGAACTGCTAAACAGCCGGAAGCTTGCCATGAAGCAACTTCAAACCAGCCGAAGCACCCCACTCCATGATTCAACCAGACACCACTTCTACCTCTGCCAACCCTAATCCAACAGTAACCCAAGCCCCAGCCTGGCTGACTTCAAGCATCAGAAGCCTGAACCCCCAGAAGGGAAAAATAAGTTCCCCGCGCTTTTCCAGGCATAAGCCGTATACGGATGCTTTCGTTTCGCCTTCAGCGTTTCTACATTGAGAGAGCGACCCTCTAGGCAAACAACACACGCCAACCGGCATGAGCAACCAACGAATGAATGCACAGCAGTTAGGTTCCTTGCTAGGTATTTTCTGGGCCACGGGAGGACTCAAGCCAAGCATTTCCTTGTTATCAAGGCCCCATGTGTTAAGGTTGACCCCAGACTAATAAACCCCTGTTTATCAATATGGGGGTGTTCCGCGACAAACAAAATGATTCCCCACTGAAACCAGGGACACCCCCCCATATTAACCAACAAGGGTATATGAATCCGGGGTCAACATTACATGCTTGAGCTTAGCACTTCTTTGCGTGGATGCGAGGTGTGGGGTGCAGCGCGAGCTTGCAGCAGGCCGGGCCCGCGCCGGGAGTGTGTGTGTGTGTGTGTGTGAACCGTCCTGGAGCACGGACGCAAAACTTTAAGCAGCAGGGGGACTGGAGCCGATTTGCCTATCCAGTCCAATGAAGCTACGGCATTTCGGTGGATACCGGATCTGATCAATCCGGCGTACCTGCCTATTTCCTGACCCTCTTTCCTGATTCCTTTTGCGGTTTCTGTTTGTCGCTGTTGCTTCCTGTTCGGTGTCGATGTTGTGACCTGTTGATTTGCATTTGCATTCAAGCATTTTTACTGACTGCGTTTTTCATCTCGGCTAGTGAAGCCTCTCGAGATAAGTGTGTTTACCCACGGCCTGTCCGACATGGCGCTGTGGGCTGGACTCGCCACATGCGGGAGCCCCCTGCGAGGGGAAGACCGTTCATTCGTTCAAATTCAAGCTGCAGTTCAGCGCGATTGACCATGGTCAAGGCAGCAATTTTGCAGGTGAGGCACTGCCATTCGCATTGCTTGTTGCACCTGTCGCATTGCCTGCACCTTGAGCAAGGCAGCAACCATGAGGTTTCGCCTAGGCTGCCGCATGTGCAAGGGACAGGTCGGTCAAACACCGACTTTGCAGTTCATCGGTTTACGCTCTGCACTGACTCTGATCAGTTCAATTCACTTTCACGTTCAAGCGACACCTGCATTGACATGAGTTGGACCGACAAGGCAGCTTTTTTGAGGCACAGGTCATGTGTGAATCAGTTGTTAAATCGTGCCTGCCCATGCCGCAGTTGCCTTCTATTGTTGGGGCCTTGTGTGTGTGTGAAGCGTCCTGGAGCACGGACGCAAAACTTTAAGCAGCAGGGGGACTGGAGCCGATTTGCCTATCCAGTCCAATGAAGCTACGGCATTTCGGTGGATACCGGATCTGATCAATCCGGCGTACCTGCCTATTTCCTGACCCTCTTTCCTGATTCCTTTGGCGGTTTCTGCTTGTCGCTGTTGCTTCCTGTTCGGTGTCGATGTTGTGACCTGTTGATTTGCATTTGCATTCAAGCATTTTTACTGACTGCGTTTTTCATCTCGGCTAGCGAAGCCTCTCGAGATAAGTGTGTGTCGGCTCGCGATCCAGGGCCGTAAATTGGAGCAGGGTCTTGGCTAGTGGCAATGCAAGTTGCTGAATTGGGTTTGATTGAAGGACATGCATGGATCAGAAATTGCCTCGCATGCCAACTTGGCAGCTACTTTTTACTCCACCTTTTTTGGAATAGCAAGCATTCAATGCCTAGCACAAGCTTGCCCAGCCTCCCCGATGGTTAGGTTAGTAAGGGGCAATCCCAACCATAAATAGCTGCGGATATCCGCCTTCTTAATTCTTGAAGCATGGTTTTGGGTGGACTATTTTACTACCGCGTTTTGATCATGACTCATTTTGCTTGTTGCTATGTCATGCGCGAGTCAGGTGACCGGCTGCTTCGACAATCCGAGCTGTGACGCCCACGACTGCGCGCTTGCCTCGGCGGGAATTTTGGCGACTGGACATGCCAAGCATATGGAAATGGCAATGAATCTTTCTAGTTGTTTTTACAGCTCTCTTGCGGAAAACTGGGGGTTGTTGAGACATAGTTTGGGTTGATCCCAAGCTGCACTCAGCAACCTCTGCAGAGTCATAGGGTGGCTGGTTTCCTTGCATGTTGACCGTTGGCAGCCACGAGGACTGTGGTAGTCACGAATGGAAGAGACTTGGGGAATGCTTCAGAAGATGACAGAAATGCAGGGTAGGGTATTCAGGGAATGCAGAGGATACGAGGGATGCAGAGGATGCGTACAGACGTAAAGAGAAGATTCAGGAATGAAGATTGAGGAGAATGCAGAGGATTCAGGAAATCGGATGCAGGACATGTATGATGAATGGGATTTGGGGGGATGCAGGGAATGCCGGAGATGCAGGGGGTGCACCGGATAAGCATAGGGCGTGGGATTTGCAAAGTGGGGAATATTTTTGGTTTTGGCGCTGGAGGAAAACACGCCGTGAAAGCTAGCTGGGGGATCATGCATCTTTTCATATGGCCATGGGTCAAAATCCAAATCGTTCCCCCAGTCAACATCCCAATCCAACCACCAAAATAGGTTCTAAATTGGGTGGTGAATTCACCTACCAAAAACATGGGATCCCAAACGGTTTTGACCCACAGCCATATCTGGAGGTAGTTTTTTTTGTTTTTTTTAATTACATTATTTTACTAGGTCTTTTTTTATTAGGTCTGGTGATGGGTTGGTTGGTTGGCTGGCCTCATCCCCGGCATCACCAGCATCACTTGGACCTGGGGTTGCCTGTTGGCTCTGATTGGGTGGCAGTTGGGAGTTGCTGGGGGCTGGTTTAAGTTAGGGGGGTTTTGGCTGGCCTAGATCTTCATGAGGGTGGGTCTTGGGGTGGCTTGGGGTTGATTTAGGCGAAGCGAAGGGCTGACATCCAGGCTGCTGTTGAGTGGGTTTGGGGTGGCTTGGAGCTGATTTGTGTTAGGTGTGCTGCTGGCTTAGCAGCGGCTTTAGAGTTGCTTTAGCCTGGATGTCAAGTGATGTTGGTGATGCCGGGGATGTTGGCAGCCTTGCGGAAAACCGGACCTAGAACAAAAAACACCTCTACCTGGACGCGTAAACGCCAGGAGTGGGGCAGCTGGACGGAGTGGTCGTCATGCACCAAGACCTGCGATGGCGGGCAGAAGAGGCACGCGGCTTACGGGAGTTGCGCCCACGAATGGCTGTGGCTCAAAACCGTTTTGAGATCCCATTTTGGGGTAGGTGAATTCACCACCCATTTTAGAACCAATATTGGTGGGGATTGGGATGTTGGATTTTGACCCATGGCCAAATGAGTGGAAACTGAGAGGGAAACAAGTCACAGGCACACACACACACACAAATACACATGAATGCTAGTCTTGGCAGCCAAAAGAGCATGCAACTGAAGCGGACTTTCTTCCCCATAAAGTCACTTTGGTCGTTCATTTCTTTGTTTCTTGCCGGCGCGGCAACGGAAAACCATTCATTTCGAAGGGCAACTGAAGATTCTGATGACGCTTGATTCTGCCTTTGGCAGCTTCCTTGCCACATTTTGGTCTGCCTGGTTTCAGGAGCACAGGGCAAGCAATGTATGTGCAGGCCCAGTCTCGTTTTGATGTGTGCTGCGGTCCCTATTCCATGCACTACACTGCCTTTGTGCGCCGTGTTGCAACTGGGTCGTTTTTGTGGCCCTGCTGTGTCAATCATCGCCAGTACCATCTTAGCAAAGAAGATTGCGGCAAATCAGGCCATTTGTTCGATTCTGACTTGACGAACGCTGAGTGATTTAAGGCTTGCTTGGTCATGAAGCAACATGCAAGCAAATTATGTGCATAGGACCCCCGGGCCCAGCCTCGTTTTGATGGGTGCTGCGGTCCCTATTCCATGCACTACACTGCCTCTGTGCGCCGTGTTGCAACTGGGTCGTTTGTGTGGCCCTGTTGTGTCAATCATCGCCAGTACAATCTTAGCAAAGAAGATTGCGGCAAATCAGGCCTTTTGTTCGATTCTGACTTGACGAACGCTGAGTGATTTAAGGGTTGCTTGGTCATGAAGCAACATGCAAGCAAATTATGTGCATAGGACCCCCGGGCCCAGCCTCGTTTTGATGGGTGCTGAGGTCCCTATTCCATGCACTACACTGCGTCTGTGCGCCGTGTTGCAACCGGGTGGTTTTTGTGGCCCTGTTGTGTCAATCATCGCCAGTACAATCTTAGCAAAGAAGATTGCGGCAAATCAGGCTTTGTGTTCGATTCTGACCCGTGCGAGCAGGGCATGAGGCAACGTGCGAGCAACGTATGTGCATAGGACCCCCGGGCCCAGCCTCGTTTTGATGGGTGCTGCGGTCCCTATTCCATGCACTACACTGCCTCTGTGCGCCGTGTTGCAACTGGGTGGTTTTTGTGGCCCTGTTGTGTCAATCATCGCCAGTAGATTGCGGAAAATCAGGCTTTGTGTTCGATTCTGACCCGTGCGAGCAGGTCATGAGGCAACGTGCGAGCAACGTGTGTGCATAGGACCCCCGGGCCCAGCCTCGTTTTGATGGGTGCTGCGGTCCCTATTCCATGCACTACACTGCCTTTGTGCGCCGTGTTGCAACTGGGTCGTTTGTGTGGCCCTGTTGTGTCAATCATCGCCAGTACAACGTGAGCAATGAAGATTTCAGCAGCGCAGGCCTTATGTTTGATTCTGACTTGTGCGAGCGCTGAGTGATGCAAGGGTTGCTTGGTCATGCAGCCTGATTTTGATGGGTGCTGCGGTGCCTATTCCATGCACTACACGGCCTCTGTGCGCCGTGTTGCAACTGGGTCGCTTGTGTGGCCCTGTTGTGTCGATCATCGCCAGTACAATGTGAGCAGTGAAGATTACAGCAGGGCAGGCCTTTTGTTCGATTCTGACTGGACGAACGCTGAGTGATGTAAGGGTTGCTTGGTGATGAAGCAACATGCAAGCAAATTATGTGCATAGGACCCCCGGGCCCAGCCTCGTCTGATGGGTGCTGCGGTCCCTATTCCATGCACTACACTGCCTTTGTGCACCGTGTTGCAACTGAGTCGTTTGTGTGGCCCTGTTGTGTCAATCATGGCCAGTACAATGTGAGCAATGAAGATTACAGCAGAGCAGGCCTTTCGTTCGATTCTGACTTGACGAACGCTGAGTGATTTAAAAGTTGCTTGGTCATGAAGCAACATGCAAGCAAATTATGTGCATAGGACCCCCGGGCCCAGCCTTGTTTTGATGGGTGCTGAGGTCCCTATTCCATGCACTACGCTGCCTCTGTGCGCCGTGTTGCAACCGGGTGGTTTTTGTGGCCCTGTTGTGTCAATCATCGCCAGTACAACCTTAGGAAAAAAGATTGCGGCAAATCAGGCTTTGTGTTCGATTGTGACCCGTGCGAGCAGGGCATGAGGCAACGTGCAAGCAACGTATGTGCATAGGACCCCCGGGCCCAGCCTCGTTTTGATGGGTGCTGCGGTCCCAATTCCATGCACTACACTGTCTCTGTGCGCCGTGTTGCAACTGGGTCGTTTGTGTGGCCCTGTTGTGTCAATCATCGCCAGTACAATCTTAGCAAAGAAGATTGCGCAAATCAGGCGTTGTGTTCGATTCTGACCCGTGCGAGCAGGTCATGAGGCAACGTGCGAGCAACGTGTGTGCATAGGACCCCCGGGCCCAGCCTCGTTTTGATGGGCACTGCGGTCCCTAGTCCATGCACTACACTGCCTCTGTGCGCCGTGTTGCAACTGGGTGGTTTGTGTGGCCCTGTTGTGTCAATCATTGCCAGTACAATGTGAGCAATGAAGATTTCAGCAGCGCAGGCCTTATGTTTGATTCTGACTTGTGCGAGCACTGATTGATGCAAGGGTTGCTTGGTCATGCAGCCTGATTTTGATGGGTGCTGCGGTGCCTATTCCATGCACTACACGGCCTCTGTGCGCCGTGTCGCAATTGGGTCGTTTGTGTGGCCCGGTTGTGTCAATCATCGCCAGTACAATCTTAGCAACGAGGATTGCGGCAAAGCAGGCTTTATGTTTGATTCTGACTTGACGTGATTGGTCATGAGGTAACGTGCGAGCAACGTATGTGCATAGGACCCCCGGGCCCAGCCTCGTTTTGATGGGTGCTGTGGTCCCTATTCCATGCACTACACTGCCTTTGTGCGCCGTGTTGCAACTGGGTGGTTTTTGTGGCCCTGTTGTGTCAATCATCGCCAGTACAATCTTAGCAAAGAAGAGAGCAGGGCATGAGGCAACGTGCGAGCAACGTATGTGCATAGGACCCCCGGACCCAGCCTCGCTTTGATGGGCGCTGCGGTCCCTATTCCATGCACTACACCGTCTCTGTGCGTCGAGTTGCAACTGGGTCTTGTGCGTGGCCCCGTTGTGTGGTGTATCGCCAGTACATTGCCAGTACCTTTTCATGAAGTGGCAGTGGCTCAAAGTTCCTACCCAAAATGGCACCTTGGTGAATGGAAACAAAGACTAACACTTGCGTATCCCTGGCTCTTTTATTGTGAGCCATACCCAAGTGCCAGCGTTGAGACTACCGTTGGGGCTACTGGGTCAAACTGCCACAGTTCATGAGCTCCTGGTGGATTTGAATCGCTGGAGACGGATACAAGTCCACGCTTGCATGCTGCAATCTTGCCTGGGCATGAGAGTGAGGGCAAGCATGTATGACTGTATGGTGCATAGGACCCCCGGACCGAGCCTTGCTTTGATGGGCGCTGCGGTCCCTATTCCATGCACTACACTGCCTCTGTGCGCCGTGTTGCAACTGGGTCGTTTTTGTGGCCATGTTCCAGTACCATCTTAGGAAAGAAGATATTGCGGCCAGGCAGGCTTTTTGTTCGATTCTGACTTGAGCAAGCAGGTCATGAGGCAACGTGCGAGCAACGTATGTGCATAGGACCCCCGGGCCCAGCCTCGTTTTGATGGGTGCTGAGGTCCCTATTCCATTCACTACACTGCCTCTGTGCGCCGTGTTGCAACTGGGTGGTTTTTGTGGCCCTTTTGTGTCAATCATCGCCAGTACAATCTTAGCGAAGAAGATTACGGCAAATCAGGCTTTGTGTTGGATTCTGACCCGTGCGAGCAGGTCATGAGGCAACATGCGAGCAACGTATGTGCATAGGACCCCCGGGCCCAGCCTCGTTTTGATGGGCGCTGCGGTCCCTCTTCCATGCACTACACTGCGTCTGTGCGCCGTGTTGCAACCGGGTGGTTTTTGTGGCCCTGTTGTGTCAATCATCGCCAGTACAATGTCAGCAAAGAAGATTGCGGAAAATCAGGCTTTGTGTTCGATTCTGACCCGTGCGAGCAGGTCATCAGGCAACATGCGAGCAACGTATGTGCATAGGACCCCCGGGCCCAGCCTCGTTTTGATGGGTGCTGAGGTCCCTATTCCATGCACTACACTGCCTCTGTGCGCCGTGTTGCAACCGGGTGGTTTTTGTGGCCCTGTTGTGTCAATCATCGCCAGTACAATCTTAGCAAAGATTACTGCGGCAAATCAGGCTTTGTGTTCGATTCTTTCTTGAGCAAGCAGGTCATGAGGCAAAGTGCGAGCAACGTATGTGCATAGGACCCCCGGGCCCAGCCTCGTTTTGATGGGTGCTGAGGTCCCTATTCCATTCACTACACTGCCTCTGTGCGCCGTGTTGCAACTGGGTGGTTTTTGTGGCCCTGTTGTGTCAATCATCGCCAGTACAATCTTAGCTAAGAAGATTGCGGCAAATCAGGCTTCGTGTGCGATTCTGACCCGTGCGAGCAGGTCATGAGGCAACATGCGAGCAACGTATGTGCATAGGACCCCCGGGCCCAGCCTCGTTTTGATGGGTGCTGAGGTCCCTATTCCATGCACTACACTGCGTCTGTGCGCCGTGTTGCAGCCGGGTGGTTTTTGTGGCCCTGTTGTGTCAATCATCGCCAGTACAATCTTAGCAAAGAAGATTGCGGCAAATCAGGCTTCGTGTGCGATTCTGACCCGTGCGAGCAGGTCATGAGGCAACATGCGAGCAACGTATGTGCATAGGACCCCCGGGCCCAGCCTCGTTTTGATGGGTGCTGAGGTCCCTATTCCATGCACTACACTGCGTCTGTGCGCCGTGTTGCAGCCGGGTGGTTTTTGTGGCCCTGTTGTGTCAATCATCGCCAGTACAATCTT